TTGGCTCGAGGCTCATGATTTAATTAGGGCATCCATCAGAAGTCTGACAGTAAAACCTCTTTTAAATCAGACTTAACTTCTAGTGATTTCATGAATGCATCCATGAAGTCTTCTTGGGCAACAATATGGAAGTACTTCACCATTCTCTTTTTCCAATATATTTTTACAGTCACCTGCTTCAGTCTACCACAGCTCTGGTATTTCCTGATACTCTTCCATTCACTATTAACTTGATCCAACTCTGCTACTTAGTTTTTGAACCACAGTAGTGGTTGGACATCTAACTGGGCACCTATTTTTATGACGTCTGAATGACTGCCTTGTGGGCTTTGTTAATGAATGGAGAGAAGGAGAACATGGATCTCTTAAGGTTAGGGAGATGCTGAAGGCACCATAAAGTAGACTAACTTCTTAGCTCCCTGATACAACATGCTGTGGTCATACCAGATGCAACATGGTGTGACCAGACCACAACATGGTGTGACCAACCTCTGTAGAATGGTTCCCCCAATCCTCAACTCATAGAGTCAACTCAGAAGGATAGTTTGGTTAATGATATCTAAAGCCATTAAGAGATCAAGAAGCACAAATATGCCATCACTATCCTGGCTCCATCATAGGTCATAAATTATCACAACCAAAGCTGTCTCACTACTAAATCCAGTCCTGAAAGCTGATTGAAATGGGTCTAGACCCATGACGGCGAACCTATGGCATGCGTGCCACAGGTGGCACACAGAGCCATATCACCCAAGAGTTGCCCTAGCTCAGCTCCAGCACGCATGTGCACGCTGGCCAGCTGATTTTCGGGCCTTCTGGGCCCACCGGAAGTCGGGAAATGGGCCATTTCCAGCCTCTGGAGGGCTTCTGGGGGGGGAAATGCTGTTTTCCCCCTCCCCAGGCTCCAAGAAAGCCTCTGGAGCCCGGGGAGGGCAAAAAAACGGGCCTGCTGGCCCCACTGGTAACCTTTTTGCCATCACATGCCAAAAGTGGGGAGAGCACAGGGGAGTTGCACACCCATGTGCATGGGGGTGGGCCATGGGGGTGGGCCATGGGGGGGGGCATTGAATTATGGTTGTGGGCATGCACATGTGTGACCCCCCTTACTCCCCCCGCTTTTGGCAGGCGACAGCAAAAAGGTTAGCCATCACTCGTCTAGACAATCTATTTCCTTCAAGGTTCTGATCAGCTTCAGGCTGAGCCCCTTTTCAACAACCTTCTCCAGAAACAGAAGACTGAAGATGGGTTGATAGTTTTCGAAGATCATTGGAGCCAAAGCCAGCTTCTTGAGGAGAGGATATTATTCTTTTTTAATTCAAAGGCATCTTGGGAAGAAATAAGGTAGGAGGACTTGGGATCTGACATCCACAGAATAACTCTAAAATAGGGCCAATCTCTGTGTAGTAGAAGTCAAAACAGTCAAGAAATTAGAGAATACTGATCAATCCTCGATGACTACAAATCACATGGACAGATGATTTATTTCACAAGGTTCACAGACCTTCACAGGTCACCGAGATGACAAATCCAGGCAACATCCAATTGGATTTGTGGTCAACTGAAAACCTGAGTTGGTCCCTGAGAAGACTGCTCAGAACCATCCCGGAAGCAAGACTCTCATTTCTGCAAACATTTACTCCATTCCAAAACAGGAGCGAAGTAAACTTGATGGACAAGAGCCATTGGGTGGGGCACAAGCTGTGGAAGTCCACAACTCCCTCTCAAACACACAAAGAGAAGTGGAACTTGTTCTACTGATATCCCAAACGCTCAACTGTCATGCAGCTAAGTCACAGGTGAATGGCATAAGCACGACACTCATCACGATGGCATTTGTAAACGGAAAAATGATATAGAACGGGTGATATCATGAACCATCGTCCACTTTGACTGCCAATTACAGAAGTTGGTCGGCTAACACATTTGGCGAACACCAAGATAGGGGAGAGTAGAAGATGAAGGAACAGCTTCATCATGACCTCAATCAGCTCAGAAACTCAGTAACAGTAATAGAGTTGGAAGGGACCTTGGAGGTCAGGCGGGAGATCTGTACTAAGGATTCGAACCGACGAACTGCCTACCTTTCTGATCGACAAGCTCAGTGTCTTAGCCACTGAGCCACCTAGTCAGGCATATTTCTCACCTTCCAACCATCCCAGATACAGGTAGTCCTTGACTTACCGCCAAAATTGGGGCCAGAATTTCTCCTGCTAAGCAAGGCAGTTTTAACTAAGTTACACCCACAGCGTTTAAACCAAGGGTGTCAAACTCAAGGCCCATGGGCCAGATCCGGCCTACGGGATGCTTAGATCTGGCCCGTGGGGCTGCCCTGGAAACAGTGAAGGACCGGCCTGTGGTGCCTCTGTCAGCAAAAATGGCACTCGGGAGGACAGTGTGCAGCCCTCCTGGGCTCCGTTTTTTGGCCGTGATGGCCTCCTGCAGCCCTCTGCCAGCGAAAACGAAGCTCAGGAAGGCCGCGCATGGTGCCAACCTCCATTTTCGCTGGCAGAGAGCTGCCGGAGACTGTCACGGCCAAAAACAAAGCCTCGACATGTGACGTCGAGCTGGCCATGCCCCCCCCCCCCCTGGCCAGCCCTCCAAGTTCAAACACAACTCTGATGTGGCCCTCAATGAAATTGAGTTTGACACCCCTGGTTCAGGGGTGAAATGCTCCCGGTTCAGACCGGATCGGGCAATCCGGTAGCGATTGTGGCAGGTGGTTCGGAGAACCGTTAGCGATGGTGGCGTAAGGCTCTGTCCATGTCATTACTTCCTGGTTTTAACCAGGAAGTAACATGTTTTTTACCCTCTGCCCATGCACAGAAGGTTTTGCGCGTGTGCAGAGGGTCTGCGTGCACAGTGCATGCACTTCCGAACCAGTAAGGAAGGTAAGTAGATTTCACCCCTGCCCTGGTTTAAACGAATCACTATGGCTGTTAATTGAACCTCGCAGTCATTAAACGAATCTGGTTTCCGCCGTTGACTTTGCTTGTCGGGGGTTCAGCTGCGAAGGTTACCAATAGCAACGATCACATGATCTTGGAACTCTGCAACCATCGTCAATATGATGCTTGCCAAGTTCCTGAATTTTGATCACATGACCTAATGGGGGATGCTTGCAATAATCCTAAATACAAGACCCAGTCCCAAGTCACTTGATTTAGTGCCATTGTAACGTCAAGCAGTTGTTGAATGAGTACGTTATAAGTAAAAGACTACTATCTCCCCTCTTCACCTTCCTCACAGGGCTGTTGCAAAAATAAAAAAATAAGCTGAATGAAAAGAAAAAAACGCAAAGGTCAGCAGCGTGTAATAACCAAGGATTTGGGGAGTTTTGTTTCCTTTAATTTCTGCTTGTGGTGCAGTTATTAAAGGCCCAGGAGTTGGATTTAGGAAAATAAAAAAAAAAAATTAGTGAATGCCTTTATAAGGAGGAGTTTCATAAAAGATTTGGCACAGATCTCTGTTGCACCGGTTACTTTAAAAATCAACATTCTCTTCATGTGGTTTCTGAGAACAAGCTTGCATTTCTCAGCCCTCTGACAGATGTTCTTGGAGCATGGGCAGAGTATAAAGCTGCCAAAGAGAAGAGGGAAGACGCCCAGCTGAGGAAACCGTGCCAAGCTCTGCCTATCTACAGGGGTACATTTTATCACTTTTTAGCACAGAAACTCTATTTTACCAAGAGCTGCCCAACTGACAGACACTCAAAAAAGCAAAGCAAAACGGGGCAATCCACACATTAATTTTGGAGAATCGGTCAGCTTTTAGAAGAATCCCGAGACAAAGATTTTACTCACCTCGTGCCCGTTGGTGGGGGGAAAAAATTGCTGGATGCAAGAAGAAAATAAAAGAAAACGACTCCATATCTGAAGATCTGGAGCAAACAGGCTTGCACCGATGCATTTAAATACAGAATGAAGTAAAATTGTAGAAGCTTCTTGGATGAGAAGCGAAACATTTTCAAGGGGGAAAAAAACCTCCCCCCAAAAAAGAAGTCTTTTGCCTTTTGAAAAGCCTTTTGAAAAGCACTTTTGAGACGGGTCAGAGTTGCTAGCACAAAACGTTGAAATGCACAAAGAGAATGGAGATTAGGGATAAGACAAACCAACCTTAGCATTTAAGGTTTCTGAGTTCTGAGCGGATGATTTGCTCCCCCTTGAAACAGCAAAGATTGTGGATTTACTCCAAATCACCAGGGATTCACCTTGATTCTAAACCCTGCCCACTTGTACAATAAGTGTGTAAGAGCCGTGGAAACACTCTTCGGAAAACTCTTCCTTTTCCAAAACTCTTCTACCTTCCACAGTAAACACTATTTTGGAAAGTACCTGTACAGCACCGGTCAAGAAAAGAGCAATTCATAGATAGATATATTCTTATCGGGAATCAATCCTTTCGTTTCACTTACGTCAAACCAAATCAGTGTAACTTCTCATTACTTGAATAGCCTGACTAGGTGGCTCAGTAGCTAAGACGCTGAGCTTGTCAATCAGAAAGGTCAGCAGTTCGGCGGTTCAAATCCCTATTGCAGGTCTCCTGCGTGAGCAGGGGGTTGGACTAAATGACCTCCAAGGTCCCTTCCAACTCCGTTACTTCATTAGCAGGTTGTGATGGTTGTAGAGGAGAGGGGGTGGGTGGGAGAAAAAAGGAGTTGGGGATTGCAAAGCAAGATTTCTTGGTCCTTCCCCTTCATCCCAACCTAGCCTACCCACATCTGGCATGGGGAGCCTGGCTTAAGTGGCTCAGTGGCTGAGCTTGTCGATCAGAAAAGTCGGCAGTTCAGCGGTTCGAATCCCTAGCATAGGTCTCTATGGGGCTGGACTAGATGACCGCCAAGATCCCTTCCAACTCTGTTACTATTTGTTTCTTTCTTTGTTTGTTTGGGAAGCAGTTCAGCACTCTTAAACCCCTGGATGAGCCTGCAGGAAAAGCAGGCTCTCTTCTCCTGTTTCCCCAAAGGATTGTTGCCTGCCCAGCAAGAACCGAAGGAGGCTTACCACAGTAGAAGCAACACGGGTGGATTTCCTTCTGCGGAGACACCTTTTAAAGCATGCAGCAGCCTCCGTCCTCCGTCGCTGTGAGCGGATCTGCAGGGAGGGCACTGGGCAAAGCGCACAGACGATCTCAGCTTGGGGCCCAGCCTTGTTATGGGAGGGAAGGCTGACAAAATGGGAGGGTGCTTCTACCCTGCAGGGCATCAAACAGGTTCCTACATCCCAGGCACAGGAGAGACAGAGAGAGAGAGGGAGGGAGGGAGGGAGGGAGGGAGGGAGGGAGGGAAAGAAAGAGAGAGAGTGTGTGTGTTCCCCCCTCCCTCTCTGCTTCAGCCAGAAATAGCCTCTCCCTTCCACATTCTTTACATTCCCTGCCCTGTGTCACTGGAGACGTCCTGGGCCAGAGGAGAAAAGCAAGCAAGTGGTAGCTGAGGTTTTGGTTGCGGGCAAGGCTGACAGACAGGTGAGGCTATTAAGGATGCAAGAAGCCGCCATCCTTCCCCCCCCCGCCTCCCACAAGCATCAAACTTGCCCAGAAAACCCACTTCTCACCTCTTGCCTAGTGTAGTACAATCGCCCCAACGATGGAGACTGTTACCATGCCAAACATTCCTCTGTATTGTCAGCTTGCCAGTTGCCATTCGGCTCATTGAAAACAGATGGGTTTTGGAGGTGTCATGCAAAGGAGGATTACAGATGAACATGAGTGGGAAAGGACCCTGTAGGTCATCTAGTCCAACCCCCCGCCCAAGCAGGAGACCCTACACCATTTCCGACAAATGGCAGTCCAGTCTCTTCTTGAAAGCCTCCAGTGATGAAGCTCCCACAACTTCCTCAGGCAACTTCGGTTCCGTTGGTTGATTGTTCTCACTGTCAGAAAGTTTCTCCTTATTTCTAGAAGACGATCCCTTGGACATTGTGGCAATCTTGCCTTGACTAGATTTTGTCTGAAATTGTCTAGGGCCATGGCGCCGAACCTATGGCACACATGCCACAGATGGCACGCGGAACCATCTCTGCGGGCATGCAAGCTATTGCCCTAGGTCAGTTCCACAGTGCATGCATGCGTGCCGGCCAGCTGATTTTTGGCTGGCCTTGTCCACGCCGCCCCTCCCCGGAGCCTTCATGAGACCCATTTTGGACGCCAGGTAAGTACAGGGCTCGCATGGAGGCTCTGGAAGGGCGAAAAATGGCCCTACCAGAAGTACCAGAAGTCCAGAAATGGAATGCTTGGATTGCTATCTCATAATTATTTTGTAGCTATTTTGTATTTTGTTCCACTTTTTTGTTGTTGTTGTTTTTATGTTCTGCTATTGTTCTGAGGCCATCCTGAGTTGGCTGGAGTCAGGCAGCCACTAAATTGAATGAATGAATGAATAACTGAATGAATGAATACTTGAATAAATGAATGAATGAATATAAATCTCCCAGTTATCTAAATACTTTAAACTTTACAATAGGAATGAACACCACATTATTCTTCCTCCAGACAAGAGGTGTAATATTGAAAGCCAAGTCAACCCAACTATTCCTTGAAAGAAAATTGAATGGGTTTTTTTTAAAAAAAGTTTTTTATTTTTTTTATTCTTATACAGCTCATTGCGTGAATGGTTAGATACCTGGGTATCACACATTTCAATACAAATAAATATGACAGTATTATTCCTTGTAATTACTTTTCATTTTTATTTCTAATTTTACCAACACATAACTTCTACTATCATCCTTCAATTCTAAATCTTCTCGTAGTTCTTCCGTACATTATATCATCTTAATATCTATTCTTACTATTTCCCCCCCTCTTATTTCTACTTCTCTTTTAGCCCCTTTTTTCCCCCCCTTCACCTATCACTCTAGTAATTGAAGCCGTGGTCCTTCCCTTTTTTTTTCATTTCATATTTCCGTATGCACGTCTAGTATCAATCGTAATTTCTTTCAAGTATTTAGTGTATATCCATTTCATATTGTTGTTTTTCCAATCTTTCAATCCTTGTAGTTCTCATTAAAATATATCCTGCCTTTGTCTAATCTCAAATGGCTTAATTCTAGCTTTCCACTATTACTCACATTTTTATACATATTTAATAATACCCTTATACAAATTCTATTTGTCTAATTTACAAAATAATTTGAATGGGTTTTTATATGCCTCTCCAATGGATTCCTCAACCTGATAAATGTGAGTGGAAGAGACAATAGAATCCTCTGTCCAAGGTTAATATTAAACCCAAGAAAAGATCAGGCAAAATTCCATAATTTCATCCAAAGCTTGAGCACAGTTATATGTGTTTTTTAACACTGAACTCTACTGAATTTTAAAGTTATCCAGATGTACATAGACCCTGTTTGGACAAATGAAATATGGAACTCATTTATAGAAAATATCATAGGTCAAAAAAGAATAATAGTTGTATAAATGTGTTGGAAATTAATATATACAGCCTTGAATAATATTTACATTAGGTAAGTATATATAGTATTATAACCGGTGTAGCTATTGTAACAATATATTCTGTTTCTTTTTTTCTTTGTATTTTTTCCAGTTTTTAAAACAGTTTTTATAGATTGCTTTTTTTTCATTGAGAATGTATGTACAGTATTTGTATTATAATTATCTTTTGTTTTGTTTTTTCTTTTTCTGTGATTTTAAAAGCAATAATTATCTAACGTGGAAATGTTTTGATGCTTAATCACAGAATGAAACAGAGTGAGAGAGTTTACACAGGCCTTTTCCTTGGCTGAGGAGGTCAAGTGGTAATTGACATTTTGAGATACCTTCTTCTCGGAACTCAGAATAATCATCAGACTACGCCAGCAAATGTCGGTGCTTTTAAGACGACATCAATCTATTCTGCGATTCGGAATCTTTCAACATCCATGAAGATTTCACCAGGAGATCTGTGCAATGTCTTTCGCCAGCTTTAATACATCCCTTAAGTCTGTTCAGCGTTGTGACACCTCCGCAGGATTACAGTTAAACTCAGCGTTAGTCATTTGGGAGACTACAGGCGTTTTTTTTTTTAAAAAAAAAAACCTGCAAATTTGTTAGCTTCTTCCTTAATGTCATTAAGGCCTAAGGGCAGAATAAATCAAAGCAGGTCCGGTTTTACTATTTTAATTTTAAACCATTGGTTTAAAGGAAGCAGTGGTGGGTTGCCACCGGTTCAGACCAGTCCGCAAGAACCGATAGTAAAACCGGCAGGAGGCCCCGCCCACCGCCCCGGATGTTGTCATTGGCGATCTGCGCATGTGCAGAAGCTTCCCGTCATCGCGCGTGCGATCCCGTTGCAAACCGGTAGTAAAGGTAAGTAGAACCCACCCCTGGTTAAAAGGGAATGCATGCAACCCACCAGTTTGCGAGTCTTGTCAATGTGTCCCTTTGTACAAACACAGGGAGGAAAAAATATCGCAAATAAGGTTTTAAAAGAATGAATAAAGGCATAAGATAGGACAGTGATGGCGAACATTTTTGGCACTGAGTGCCCAAACCAGAACACATGTGCGCCCCGGAGCCCCGGAAACCAAAAATGGACCTGAAAACAGCCTGAAAACGGCCTGAAAAATGATCCGAAAAACGACCTGAAAATAGCCCTGAAAACGGCCCCCAAACAGCCTGTTTTTTGGCTGGTTTTGGCTATTTTTCGGGCCATTTTCAGGCTGTTTTCCGGTGCTTTAGCACCCACGAAGACCAGCTGGCATGCCAGAAACCAGAAAAGCAGCTGGCAACGGCACATGCCACAGAGAGGCCTCTGCATGCCACCTCTGGCACGCGTGCCACAGATTCGCCATCACGGAGATAGGATGAAATAAGAATGTTCCATTTGACTGCGTTAGGAACTCAAGGAAGCATTACAGTGGTTAGATGGCTTGCCTGAGGCCATCTTTTGCCCAACATATACAGGTAGCCCTGACCTATCTCATTAGGTTGCCTTAAGAATTATAAGGCTACGCAAATGGAATGCATTAGACATTCAAAGAATAATATGCATACATTAAGTAAGGAATGCATCGGCCACAGCAGTGCTGCGTTGCTCACAATTCTCCAGCCCATTTCTGGGTGGGGGAAAAAAAAACCTCTCTGCATTTCTCCAGGGGAAAGAGACATTCTCCAGTTAATTTCCTCAAGGGCAAAGACTGTCCCTTGATGATGCCTGCATCTTGGCTGCTCAAAATGTTTCTTTAGAAGAGGAGGCCCTCTTGTTGTCTCGAAGACTATAGGAAGCACAAGAAGTCAGAGAAGCTTGCAGGCTACAGAGAAATGGTTGCACGAAGAAAGAGGGGAGGTCTTCATACATCGCTTGGTGCAGGGGTGAAATCTAAAATTTGTTAGTAACCGTTCTGTGGGCGTGGCTTGGTGGGGGGGGTAATGTGACTGGGTGGGCGTGGCCAACTTTTTTTTTAACTTTTAAAAGCATTTTTTCTATAACCTCTTCGGCGAAGAGGTTGTTAAAAAATGCTTTTAAAAGCCTCTCGCAATCCCAGCTGAGTTGCCTGATCGGCAGAGGCTTTTTTCCTTTTAAAAGCCTCTGCCAATCAGGCAACTCAGCTGGGATCGCCAGAGGCTTTTAAAGGCCTTTTTTTTTTCTACAACCTCTTCGGCTGAGGGAGAGACAAACACATATAGAAGTCCCACCCCTGCCCTCAAGGCAGCCACATCCCTTCACTAACCTGCTTTCCATCCCCAGGTGGAAAATTAATTTAAATTAAATTAAATTAAATTAAAATTTAATTTATTTAAATTTAAATTTAAATTTATTTATTTATTTATTTATTTTATTAAATTTTTATACCGCCCTTCTCCTGCTGGACTCAGGGCGGTGAACAGCCAAGAATAAAAACATCACATACAAAATTTAAAATTTTTAAAAGAATTAAACAAATTCTGGCCCAATAAATTTAAAACACCCCAACTAAAATCAATTTACAGTTAAAAATATCTAAAAATATCTAAGGGGCGATTACGCCAGCCCAGCTTGATGAAATAAAAAAGTTTTAAGGGCACGGCGAAAAGCACGGAGATCTGCGATCCTACTTATCTCCGGGGGCAGGTCGTTCCAGAGGACAGGTGCCCCCACAGAGAAGGCCCTCCCCCTGGGGGTCGCCAGCTGACATTGTCTGGCCGACGGCACCCTGAGGAGTCCCTCTCTGTGGGAGTGTACTGGCCGGTGGGAGGCTATCGGTGGCAGAAGGCGGTCCCGTAAGTACCCAGGCCCTAAGC